AGATAGGTAACACTCTCAAGCGTACACATCTGTTTGATTATTAAAACTTGCCAAATGTGAACAAACCAATTATAGCAAATAAATGAGGAGAAACAAATTCTCGTTTTTTGCGACAGATATTATTGATGGTCAACGCCAGCAACTAGAAGAAAGAGCGATCAGCATGGAGTCTGCATTGGCGAAAGCGAACAACGGGCTTTTGGAAGCAAGAAAAGAGGTGACTAAAGATATGATTCCAAACTGTATTTCCTTTTCCTTTACTATTTATTTCTGAACTCGGGAATGACAAACTCTTGTTCTCACTCGGGTTGTTTCAGCTGATGGACAAAGAGATAGCCGAGAAGGAGACGGCAGAGAAATTGAAGTCCTTGACTCAGCAAGCTGAGGAATACAAGGTAAGATCGTTTACACACTCTGATCAACTTCACGGGTACTTCAAACACTTATGCACCATGCAGTCACTTGAACCCTCCACCACTGGGGGATACCCGGGGCAAACCGGGGGTTTTCACCTCATTTTAACTCGATTTAGGTACCCTGGTAGTCGGGGAATGTATCTCTTTTCACGGCTTCGCGATACAATGCGGGGATTGAGTGGGGGTTTGCATTGGCGGGGATTTCACTCGTGGTTCGTGATTTCCCTCATGTTTAAAGGGCAGGGGAGTTCAGTCTGAAATTTTTACCCGCAAGACGGGACTTTAACTGCATTTCACTAACAGTAAAAGTGAATGCCCTGGTGCATTACGTCTAAGCGAGCGCGTAGTACTGTACTGTACTGTCAAGTCAGAAACCTCAACTATATACGGTATATTAAACTAATATTTTTTTTCTTTTAGCGGTAAGAAAACTATATAGAAGCATTCAATATTGTGTTGTACTCGTGGAGCAACTGCCATCGCCGTGCAGTACCAGTGGTCAGCAGATTCACCTCGGGGAACACCTGACACCTCCCTGACACCTTCCCCGCCCTCCCTCCCGCCGTCTCACCATTCCGCCCTCCCTACCCTCTCGCTGCGTAGCGCGTAACTACCCTTAACGTGAGCTAATGAAAACAATCTCTGACATAAAGGGTAATTTAGCATTTCAGTGGAAAAAATTGATCCATTTTTCTGACTAAAACATATCATTTTGTTTTACTAAATCTTGGCGGTAAAGATGAGCCCTCATTATTAGAAATCGCTGTTTTCGAACTACAATTAGATGTCTACAAAAGAACGATTGCTTTTCTCCACAGAATCTTTTCATAGCGGAGAGGAACAAGAACAAATACAGCATAGAGACTTTGGAAGCATTGCTGTCTACAGTGGAGGCAGAGATGGCCCCGCGAAAAGAATTTCAAGGCCTCTTAAACGTAAATCACGTTATTCCTTTTCATGCATACAACTTCGTCAAATTTGTTCCCACATTCCCTTCCGTTTCCACTCTTCGCACATGTTACTGGTTTGAAACTGCGGTATAAAGTTATATTTACTCTACTTCACTAAAGAGGTTTTACAACAGATAGTTTTCAATGGAGCCTGTCATTGATTATATGTAATGGTATTAGTGCATTACCTTATGGACTGTATCTAACTGTATTCGCTATGGACTCTATCTTCTATCTAGCTGTATTCGGATGGGATGGATACCCAGGTGTAAAAGTGACTACCTGCAATCGCAAATTGAATGCTTGGGGGGATAACTCTGCGATGGACTGCAATCCACACTAGCCGAGACGGAAGGAGAGGTTGAGAAAAAACACTCCTAGGGGCTTGATGTTAGGCAAACCGAAGATGAGCGCAATTTTAATTTAACGAGCAAATAGGTTTGCACGCAAACATTGCTTTTAAGAATTTCTTTACAAGAGAAATCTCTGTTGTGAGATGACATGAAGAACCCACAAATATTTCGTCCTTCGGCCCTATGAGACAATCCAAGGCTCCCTATACTTAGGTACACGTACTTTTTTCTTAATTAATTTTTCTTCTTTTTCAATCGTAGGAGATCCTTACCGAGGTGAAAGAAGGATTCTATGCTCAACTAAAGGTTGTGTTTGATAAACTAACAGGGGCAGAAGATAAGCTTCGTGGGTCTCCCCAAGAGGTGAACCGGTCGGAGAAGCTGCCAGAATCACAAGCTGTGCCTAGTTTCTTCAGTTCGTTAACAAGAACAAATACCGAAGAGAAGCTCTCGACAGAAGTACTTGATTGTAAGGTAACTGGTGGTCACGTAATTGATGTTATGTCCACATGTATGAGTTTATCCCAGTAAATGTATACAAATGTTTCGTTCACTAGCTCAGCGATCGTTCATTGATTTGTTTTACGCCTGTGCTCAAGCCCGAAAGCGATGAAAGAAATCCTAAACGCTGAAATATCTATCAAATAAGCACGCTTTATAATTGCTCCGATACTGACACTAAGAAACCAGCACTGAGTATGCGCTGTGACGTTAGCGTTTACAATTGAGTTCATACGTTTGTGCCTCCCATACCTTATCCGGAAATGAAAACATAAACTGAGATAGATGTCCGTAGAGCGGCGTTTTCTAAGAAATAAAAGGCCTTAACTTTTAGAGGCTTGAAGTATGCATATCAAAATAACGGCCTGGGCGAAAGCTTCAGACCCGAAAACATGAAAACACGAAAAGATGAACTTTAAATTGAAGCATTAGTCATTAGAAGACATCTTCCCTGTCCTTTCTCTTAACGTATTTGTGAGTGTTTATAACTAAGACAGGCGCGATTTTTGCATTCCTATGCGAGCAACAAATTAAGCAGAGTTCAAAAATCACATCACAAAACGAATTTCATTGTTGTTAGTTAAATATTTATGCTTCCACATTCTGACATTTTTAGAACCTCGGTCCTCCTCTTCTGTTTCAGGATCCTTATGGCGGTCCCGCTGTTACTGCCCATTCTCCAGCAGCGCAGAATACAACCTCGAGTAGCTCGGCATTTGCAATTAAAAGGTTTGACTCTGAAGCTCTGAATGCCACGACAACCAGGTCGCCAGATGCTTTTGAAAAGATTTGCACAGAAAAGCGAATTAAAATCACGACTACCACACCAACTACATTTGGGAAGAACACGAGACAAGGGCTAGATATAACCACTAGTAGCTCACTACACTTGAAAACGGTTGCCACTGGAGCAATAACAAAAATCACTAGTAACTCGCCAATGCAACTGGG